TTTGTCGCATGTTTACTATGATTTAGTGGCCCAAGTGCCCTTTAATATATTGAGCTTATATAGTATATTTATTTCAAGTACCACCACCAGTGGCAGTTCGCATCTTACGATCACTACCACCAGTGTCAGTTCTCATTTTGCTTCCTGCCCGATAAACTCCCAAGCCTTTTAATTCCACCATGCATCTGTCTTTTATGCTGGTGATGATGACGACCATCAAGGCCTGTAACGCGGCTGCAGATTCCGACGGAACAATGGATTCTCCAGACCTCGTCCGCTCACACGATGGAACAAACTACATCGATGGTGCCCGCGGAAAATTTCTTCGAGGGCACAAGGACTGTGAAACGGAAGAAATTGAAGGTATGCGAATGAGGCTTGAGGGCGATGTGAGCAGAAAGAAGTAAATCCGAAAGTGATTGAGATTGAGTTAGGCTAAACCGGTCTTACAGAAGTCTCTATCTGTGTCCTAAGAGCAATCCCACAAAGTATGAGCATCTAGCTCCTTTAAGTTCTAACGGGGCTGCGACAGATATACAGTGCAGAGAGGTAACTTCAACGTACCACTCTCAGCCAATCAGGAATGTAGATCTCGGGGAGTCGTCCAAGCATATCACGAGAATACATCATATGTATGGAGAGCCACGCGCCTTCAACAACACCACAGCAGGCACGTGCTTCGCGGTAGGTATCCACGACAGATAGGCTGCGAAATGTAGAATGACAACAGAAGAGCGGACTCTGTCGGACTGGCTGGAGAAGTTAAAAGCCAAGCAAGTGGCCAATAAAATCATGAATGGCCATACGACGGCTAACTACGCATATTCGGAATGGGCTCAGAAGCGTTAAACCTTGGACAACCTGAAGCACTTTCTGGATATCGAAAAAAAAATACATTTCGATCTACAACGGTTTTGTTTTGCACTCGTATCAGCGCTAAGAGATCGGGCCGAAAAAAATATTAGACCTTTGATAATTGCATAATAAGAATCAACCACCATTGCGCGTCAGAATTAACATTAAAAAAACAATACACCTGGCATTCTGTTTTACACTTGATCTCCATGTAAATATCTGAGGCTCGAGTAAATATGGATACAAGCATACTTAAGAAAGCCAAACATCGTTAAGTAAGTTAGGGTAGCCCTCACGTCTAAACTAGCGATAACAGTGTTCCCTTGCCACCGACCTTCTTTCGTATACTCGCCGTAAAACAACGTCTGTCGCGAGTTCCTCTAAATAGTGTTCTTTACTTGCTCATGAGTTTCTAAAAGAATTACAGAGTACAGGGATAAAAGTGACTTTTTATTGCAGAGGGGCAAGAGTCTTATGTTCTCAACTAACCTTTCTTGTCTGTGGGGTACTGCTAGTTTCAACTGCAAATGGCTGAATTAAGTCAACATGTTGTTCTCTAAATTTATTTCAGAGCTAAGGAAGGATCTAAAGGATGGTATAATTTCCATGCATTAAAAGCTGGAACTTGTTTTGGTCAGGTAATAATCGAAACAAAATGATTTAATAGAAACTCCAAGTGATACGAATACTGATAATATTCAACAAAACGAAAGCATGGCAATCTATATAAAAAAAAATTATACGGGTCGTATTAAGACTAATCGAGATTCCTGAGGATTGTACACGAGCGTGACCCTATCTTGCCAGATAGTAGCGTCCGAGTGGCACGAGACACCGGTGTCGCCTGCGCTAGAATAGTACA